CCGCGCCCTGCTAACCCGGTTATCCCGATTAGCACATTCAATAAATAACCTAAATAACAGATCGTAACGTTATTATGTAATACCTAATTTGAAATCGCTTGCTTATATTGCTATATTTATCCTTGTGATGCATGCGTCGTTAAATAAAGTTTATAAATTACTTAAAGTCAACAGTAATTACGGCAGTTGAACATTTAAAATGTCTGTTCGGGTGAAATTCAAAACGCTAAGTCATCGAGAATAATAGCGAGTAATAATTAAAATATGAAGTAAGTCCACTTTAAGTACAGTGTAGTAACAGGGCTAAACAATAGATCTGTAAGCACCGTGACGTTAAAATCTCCAAAGATTATTTTGTTTTATAACCGGTGTTAAATAGCCCACCCAATTCTAAGTTTACGAGAATCAATGTTTAACTCCGTAGCATTGTAAGCTTAAACTCAAGTCAGAAGACTAAGGAACACTTGGATAAAGAACTAAGACAAACTAACTATCGAGGATGACCTTTTGATGGAAGTAACCAGCATTTGCATGGAGAGGAAAACCACGAAAACTCCCATGAGTTGCCCAACGGAAGGGAGATTCTAGCACATGATCCGTCTACCACTGAGGATATTTTATGTCAGCACTGTTATCGGTGCGAGCCGGGAGCAGGATTCGTATCAACTAGCCACCGCTGGGATTTGAAACTGGGTCATCTCATTGGGAGGCAGGCGCTCTATCCCGTGTGCCAACATTGTTCCCCGTGAGTTGATTGTGACAATATTAGTGCTATTAGTAACAACAGTATTTATCCTTTTACGGAGCTTTAAGAAAAGTAATCTACAAAAAATTATTGGCACCAGTGATGTTTTTAATGGTGTCTTAATCGGCACTACTATTATTGTCGTAATAGGTTCCTAAATATTGTATTACAGGTAACCAATAAAAGCACCTAATTAGTGCATATATTTTCACGTTCCCTTTAAGTAGGTAAAGGTCCCCATAATCTTCTAAAATTTCCCGAGAAATCTTCACTGTTGTTGTTGTTGACGTATGTCTGTTTTTTTAGGCAGAGGGTGTGTGATTGTTCTTGTTTTCCAGTGACGCCATCTATGAACAAGAATTCAACTTCTGCCCCACTATAAGTCACACCCGCTTATAGGGCGGATCTATTCATACATCCATTCATTCATCCACAGATCGTAATTTTGACCTGATTCAGAGAACGATCGATCTCCAATCCAGTACTCCCAGAGGTATTGATTTGTTATGGGAACATAGAGGACTTTTGCCACTCAACAGATTTAACGTGCATCAGTCACTTTACTACACGGGGAGTCTTCGGCCGGCGGGGTTCGAACCCACGAACCCTCGGACATGGGCCCAGTGCCCTACCGACCAGGCTATCCCGGCCTATTCTTCACTGTTATAAATTTGTATTTAAAAAACTGTGCGTAACCACGTATATTCTAATAACTATCAAGCTTTTAAATTGTGTGTTTGAAAATTTCAATCATGTAAAGTAACCGAGAAGGGAAAATCTGAATTTACTTGCATTGACCTTGTTCAAAATGATATAAGAAATAGTATTAGTAAAACCACAAATATTTATTTTGGAGAATTGCATTCTTTTTATAGATATTGAAGGAGACTTAAACCATATTATGCCTCTTTTTAATAGGTTAGTTAAAAAAAACTAGAAAGTCTAGAAAGATGAACCCTTAGAACCTACACAAAATATTTTTACACCAGAATTATATCTGCGATAGAATTCAATGAATAGATACCACTAGTTGAATTATTGCTGTTGTTGCGCGAAGCCGGGAGAGCTGTATTAAGATCACCGAACTTTTCGCTGATTGTGAGAGCTGTATTAAGTTCACGGTCGTGGTCGCTCCTGTGTTGCCTTTAGCAGTCGAGTGTATACGTTGCGTGTGATTGAGACTGAGCAGCAACAGCGCTAGGAGGTGGATGATGTTGTAGTCACAAGTAGCAAGTCAAGTATTGAATGTGGACCATCCAACGAAGTAAGCGTTACTGTCCAGGTAGGCGTGTTCATATCAAAGTGGGCGTTTTTGCCAACGTAGGCGTGTTCACATCACGTCTGGGTCACAAATGTGGGGAGAGTAGACATCGACTATATCAACCTTTATCTATAAAAAGGTAGTCCAACATAAAATAGAGCTAGCATGTCTTATATACTAGGTATTTGGAACTGTATATTTGTAGTGGTAGATATCCTGCATCAATCTTCACCATAAAATTACAAATCCTCTAAAAGCAAATTAAAATAAAATAAATTAAATAAATTTTAATACAAAAACAAATGTCATAGCAGTTTTTGTGAATTTTATTTCTTTAAGTGCTTTTTTTTTAAAATTGTATAGTTTTCAAAATAAATATATTTTATTTATTAAAAATCTCCATTTTTTTTGGATAGGTTTAAAATAGTCTATTACTATTCTTACATAGCAACACTTTTTATTTTGATCATGATTTTACACTCGAAATATTTCTTTACAAAATTTTGTTTAAAGTGATAAGCTTTATTCTTTTCTATTCTATTCCACATGATTTAGCTTATTTTAAATTATTTTTCCTGATAACTAGAAAAAATATTCTTTTTATAAGATAAATTAAATTCCATCATGCATTTAATTAAGGAAGAATTTTACTTTTCGAAAAACTCTCATATTAGAAAACGAGAGTGGAACACATTTCGTTTAGGTTTTACACTTCGCAATTTATTTTTGCTTTTTTTCTAAGTTTCAAAACTAATTTAAAATCGCAATTTAGATGTTCATTTTGAAAGTAGAGATGCTTATTCATTGATGCATTATATTATGCTTTAAATATTATTCCACCTATTAAATAAATAATCCCAAAAACTTAAGCTGTAAGTTATTACTTAATTAAAAAATTAATTCCCTTAAAAAATGACGTTTTTAATCAACTTATAGTATTTGTCCTATTTAAAATAATTTTAAACTAACTACTAATACTATAACTTCTAACTACTAAACATATTATACCAACAAATTTTTAGAATATTCTAAAACATTTTTTATGTTTATTATAAATTATGTTCATTTATTGTTTCGTTATGAAATAAAATAAATTTATAAAAAGAGTGAAATTGCAAAATCTTAACTGGATATTTAAAAAAAGTAAATTAAATTCTTTGTTTCTTTACAGGAATAAAACATAAATAAATTTATTCATTTAATCATCTATTTTTTCAATAATTTATTGATGTTCTTATAACAATTTTGAATTTATTGATAATGGATAGGTAAAGCACTCAAATGTTCTCCGAGAAAAAAAAATTGTCAAAACTACCAGAATATCATGAAATTTACCGCATATCTGGAACTATGGACTAGGTAATTGTCATCGAAGCACTTTGATAAGATTTCGGTAAAATTAACAATAAAATATGGTTTAATAAATGTGGTAAAATTTGGTAATTTTATCATTATATCTTAGAGCATGGCATAAGAACCATTAATTTAGTTAGATTTACTTTTCAGTTTCGCATTTATTAATTAAATGTGGGATATTAAGAAATAAAATTTTGAAATCCAGAATTTCCGCTAAATTGTAACCAGATGAAACTATTACCGGATGAATGACAAAAGCACCACATAAATAGTTTGAAAACCACACACTTAAGTTTTCATTTTTATTTTTCCTGAAATGCTATCTCTATAAATTGCGGAAATTTTACCCGAATTTATTTTTATTCGCTGAGTGTTTGTACAATTCATAGCCGTTTTACAATTTAATTTGAAATATAATTATATTAGTTTTTATATTAGCATATTGATTTTCTCAAATAATATTAGTAAATCAAAACATCATATAGTTTTTCAACTGTAATCAAATATAGTAGTTTAATCAAAAATTGAATCACTTTTTAACTAGTGCTGATATTTAAAATGAACCTATTGACAGCTAAAATTGTATCATGTTTCATTTTAATTTTGTCTTTGTGTTTTTACTTTTTATCACCAAGCGTAATTTGGATCACTTTCTGGTAACTTTACTTAATTCTCATAAAATTTTAACACATCTTAATAGTAAGTATTTTAGTATAGGTGCTATAAAGAAAAATAAAATCCTGCGTATAAAGACTATTTTTAAAGCTATCAATAGCAGTCACTCATCTGTATTTCATTATTTAATGTGCTTGGCATATAATACAATGTATAATGAATATTTTTAAAGTGTTGTTAGTAGAAAGATTAAATGGGCATTCTTTGTATAGGATGCAGAGTAGATAAAAATTAATTAAGTAATTTAGTAACAAGATTAGAATTAACATTTTAAATGCTGTAAAGAAATACTATTAGTCATTTTTTAACACATCAGTCTACCCGCGTCAAATCCTGTGTCGAGTCGATGAAAAAAAAATGAGGGTTGCGTTTAAATGTATTATGAAAATATTTTTTTATGAAAATATTTACCCCGACCTGCCCCAATTCAGGGCATACGGGTAAATGTTTATTAAAACCAAGTAAAAACAGAAAAGAACATAAAAAGCAAGAAGTGCATAAAATACATAAAATACAAGAGTCATATGCCTACAGCTGGGAGGGCCACCATATAGTGCTTAAAGCCGACGGCCCACCCTTATACTGAGCCAAATTACAATAGTATTGAAGACCCCAACAAAGTTACAAAGAATACAGTATGTGTTACAATACATAATGAGTAGTTACAAGATATAAACATCTAAAATAAAACAAGACAATTAAAGATGTGAATACAATAAAAAAATAAACAAAAAAATCCCTTTATTTTCTTCTCCTTTCCTGTCTATTTTTGTTGATAAAAACGCTAAAAGCGAATATACAAGTGAGTAAAAACATCAAGATGAATTATAATTAGTGTTGAGGTGATAGAACAGAAGACCAGTTGAGTCCCTCAGGATGCTCAAGTTTGAAAAATATAAAAGGGGAATGACGCGTTAAAATAGAAGCGGATTGGCAGTTCAGGTATTGAGGGGAGACATCAAGTCAACCTAAGTATATAGGGTCCATCGGATCGTCCATTGTAATGGTATCTTCTAGTGTGCTTTTAATAATTTCTCTAATGATTTGTTGCTGTTGTTTTGTTCTGCACCACTTTTCGATTGGTTCCCTGATGTTAATATGATTCCCCCGGAGTGTCGAGAATGTAGGACATTCTGCAATTAGATGTTGAACCGTTTGGCTTTTGCCGTAGTATTTGCAGCTAGATGATTTCTGAAAAAATCTCGATTGGTGTTCTCCAAACACTCCGTGGGCGGTATAGAATTGGTTTATGTAAAAGTCACAATTTAAAAGTTTATCGCTGACTTTTGGAAAAAAAAACTTGTTGGTATGTCTCCCGTTTGATGAACGGTCCCACCTTTCTTGCCATAAATCTCTGCTGACCTGCCGTAGTTTATAATTAAGCTGTGGTCTTGCAATAGAGTAGTAAAAATTTACCCCACTGAGCAGAGTACCCGCTTTTGCTAGAGCATCCGCTTCCTCATTTCCAGCTTCCCCCGAGTGAGCCTTGATCCAGTTGAATCGGTAATTCCTGTGTTGAATAATACCTTTAATGTTTTCGACTATAATGTCCCTTGGAGTGGGATTCTCTAGGGTCTGTAATGAGGATTTGGAGTCCGAAAAAGTTTCGGACTCCATGTCTTAAATGTATTATGAAAGATTTCCCAGAAAAATGGGATAATCGGATTTTTTTTTGCCACAAATTTGCAGTTGTTGATGTAGTTGTAGTTCATTTATGTCGCACTAGAGCTGCACAATGGGCTATTGGCGACGGTCTGGGAAACATCCCTGAGAATGATCCAAAGACATGCCATCACAATTTTGATCCTCTGCAGAGGGAATGGCACCCCTGCTTCTGTAGCCCGACGACCTGCACGTGAAGTCGAGCCTTTTACGGTAGAACAGTTTAACGAGGACCAATACCGCACACCCTCGGTCCCTACGCAGACTAATCCAAGTGGTCTCCCACCCGCTCACTGACCGCAACCAGTTTGCTTGACTTCGGTGATCTGCTGGGAACATTGTCTTAACGATCAGTCCACTGCGGGAGTCTGCAAATTTGTAGCCACCAAATGCCACCATTATAGTGAATTTCTACAACTCATTCTTCATATAAATATTAAATGAGGAGATGAATGAGTGAATGAAGGAATTAGATAGTGAATACATGAAGCGAGAGAAAAAAGAATCCAATCACTGAATGAGCGAATCAGTGAATGTGAGAATCGTCGAATCAATGAATAAAAAATTAAGCGCTTTGAATAGAAGCAGCCAGCTTAGTAATTGGAGTATCAGGGAATCAGCTAAACAAAAATATACTGTGAATTGCGCATTAGTAACTTCTTAGCGCATTAGTAACAAAGCGAGCATTAGAAATTGCGCTTAGTAACTTCTGAACAAGCAATTAATGAATTAAGACAGATCTTGCAAACAAGCAATTAATGAATTAAGATAATCTTGTTACTAAGCAGAAAATAACTGAATCTGTAAATGGCTGATTATTTTGTATGGATGGATGACTGGATGTAAGCAATGACATGCTTCCTCAAACCGGAAGAAATATTGAAAACTTCCGACTTATCCTTCCGCTTATATTACGTTTACGAGATGATGTGTGATCAGGTCCAATATTCTAGGAAGTTTTATTATTGTGATTTATATTGAATTACGCGAAAACACAAATAAAGCGTAAGGTTTGCCATGTTTTGAGTGTTTTACCATATTTGTCTATATTTACGCAAGTTATCATCGCTTGTTATTTTTTGGGTAGCATTATAGCATGCTTGTGGAGTTACCCAAATTCGTTTTCAGCTGAAACTAAACGGATTCACCTAAATTTAAATTGAAAGAATGCGTAAACTTTTGCTATAAGCACATCAAGTATTAACATTGGATGGCGTGATTTTTGAGACTTAGAAGTAGAATATGAATCTGAAGTGTGGGGAATTATAAATCGTAACTACCACTATAAATATTGAATACCAAATCACGTCCGGGTTACATTTGTAGGGATTTAATCTTAGACTATGTCAACCTTCATCTATCAAGAGGTACCTTTTGATAGATGAAGGTTGACGTAGTCTAAGATTAAATCCCTACAGAAGTAGTAACCCTAAAGTCTTACAGCGGAATTCAATCCCTAGTGCAACCTGTGTTTAGCTTTATATGGTTATCTATGCATATAAATTTAAAAATAAATAAATAAAATAAAGAAAGGAAAAATTCTATAATTTAAGATCTATAATTGCAATTTTAATAATAATAGTAAATTCTGAATAGTGTAACAATATATATTTCTTTTATGTTGTTTTTTAAAACTTATTAAATTAAGCCTTTAAAGTAATTTTTACAACTTAAAATGAAACGTTCTTCACGATTATCTCAAATATAATTAGCGTCTCGGTAAAGTGTGATATACATATCTCACATTATCCTTTTTTGAAGACTGTATTGTTTCAGTTTATTGTTGGGAAGAATGCTGCATATTTTTGCAAAAATGCAACCCTGAGAAGTCCATGATAACATATTTTAATGTTATTACGGTAGAATGACTTTTTGTGTCTTAGACCTTTTGTATTATTCAGAAGAAAATTTCTGGAAGAAAGCCAAGCGTGTTAATTCATTTAATATTTTCCCTTTAAAAGCTACTACGTTTTTTTTTTTACCCTTTCTCTGAAATATTTTCTAATCTTTTCTGATTAATGTTTTAAGTTTTAAGTAAGAAATATAATATTTTTCCGCCTTAAAGTGCTTTTATACTATAAAAACTATAAAGAATTACGATATGTTTATTTATCACATTATATTCACCCAGGCTAATAGTTAAGTTTTTGAAAAAAAATATTTGATAAAATTATTACATCAGTATCTTACAAGAATGCACACTTCCCCAAGAACAGTAATGTAAACTGATTGCTCTTCCCAAAGAACCCAAGAAGTCGGCTGTTCATCAGTTCGATATGGCAAATCATTCTTTCGGGCGGGTGAGATGTGACTCCTTTTCATCAAACCACTGGTGAGTAACGAGGTTCTAGTAGCTATATGACTCTCAAAAATCAAGTTCCGTAAATGAAGAGCAGTATTGAATGATTTTAGTAGAAGAAAATTCGAACTGAATGATCTTAATTTACTCTAACCAAACTCTCTAATTTGAACTTTTACAATTTGAACGTCATTATTCGAAAATCAGTTCGCGAATTGCTATGACTTTAAATAGGTAGGTAGGTACTTTATTTTCATAGCACTAGAGCTGCACAATTGGCGATGGTCTGGGAAACATCCCTGAGGATGATCCGAAGACATGCCATCGCAATTTTGATCCTCTGCAGAGGGGATGGCTTTCCTGCTTTGGTAGCCCGATGACCTAAGCGCGAAGTCGCGTACTTCACAGTAGAACAGTTTCACGAGGACTGATACCAAGCATTCTCGGTCCCTAAGCAGGTCGATCAAAGTGGTCAGCCACCCTCTTATTGCCAGCAGCCAGTGATGTTTGACTTCGGTGTTCTACTGGGAACCGTGTCTGTACGATCAGTCCACTGCTGGACAAGATTTTCGATAAATTTGTTAAGTCGTTTATCCTCTCTAAATAAATCAAATTTTATCACCTTTAAAGGCCTTAGTTCGGGTAATTATAGCATGGGTATTTAAGCAATTTTGCGTCAGTGTTGCCTCTCTTAGATAGGACAAACTAAACGTATCCGCAAACTAACCGACCTCCCATCGCTTTACATAGTTGTAATTCTTATCGCAAATTTTTTCTACAAAAATCATTCATCACTGCTCTCATTTTTGGTAATCATTCCTTATTTTGAAAAATTTTAGTAGTTTAGTTAATGATCTTTTTAGTATCCCACCATTTACCAAGATTTTTTGTTGTTGTTTTTACTTTACGTCACCCTAGAGCTGCACAATGGGCTATTGGCGACGGTCTGGGAAGCATCTCGGAGGATGATCCGAAGACATGCCATCACAATTTTGATCCTCTGCGGAAGGGAGGGCACCCCCGCTTCGGTAGCCCGACGACCTGCGCGCGAAGTCGAGCACTTTACGGTAGCACAGTTTAACGAGGACCAATACCGCACACCCTCGGTCCCTACGCAGACTAATCCAAGTGGTCACCCACCAGCACACTGACCGTAGCCAGTGATGCTTGACTTCGGTGATCTGCTGGGAACCGTGTCTTAACGATCAGTCCACTGCGGGACACCAAGATTTAGAAGTCTATGATAATTCAATATGATGCACCCTGAGGAGTAGCCATCGTAGTCCAGTGAGTACAGAATCGAACTCTGGGCTGGGTTCGATCCTCGATTCCACTAAAACTCACCGAGTACGTGCGATATACGTGCCGTGCTCGTAAAATCTGTGGAATCGAAAGCCCTGTGGTCGGTCTCTGAGCAGTGGCAGGGGTAGAGGGATCTGAAAAATATTTCCTTCCCTTTCAGATCTATGTCTAAATTGAGGAAGTGATTTCAGGAATGAGATTCCCTCTGCTGGGGATCGAAATTGTAATGGTATGCCTTCGGATCATCCCCAGGGATGTTTCCCAGAACGTCACCAATAGAGAACAGGAGTTCGTATCCAGCCTTACGAAGACTCCCCATGTAGCAAATGATGACTGACTCACGTTAAGTCTATCGTGTCACGAAATCTTCCATGTTCCCGTAACAATAACAAAATTGATCGTTTTCTGGTTCAGGTCAAAATTACGATCTGTGAATGAATTAATGGATGTATGAATGGGTTCGCCCTATAAACAGATGTGACATATGGGTCTGGCAGAAGTCGAATTCTTGGTCATAGATGGCTCCACTGGAAAGCAAGAACAATTGCACTCCTTGCCTTAGTTGCCTACGACATCAGCAACAATATGCCAAAGAAACATTAAGTCAGATAAAAATATATCTTAACTGATTAAATTTGTCAATGAAATTTCTCACAATGCTGCCACAAAGCAAAATAAAAAATATTTGGCACAATTTTTGTAGATGTTTTAAAATAATTTAAAAACTTTAAATTTCAGTGTTTTCTAAACATTCATTCAAATTAAAAAAAGGAAGGAGAATTTATCTGCGAAATATCATCTCTGAAACCCGGCAGACTGTAGAGACTAAAAAGTTTAACACTAATTCACATAAAGAGAGACCACATCTTTACCACGATACCTTTTTTTACGGGTCCCGCAGTGGACTGATCGTTAAGACACGGTTCCCAGCAGATCACCGAAGTCAAGCATCACTGGCTACGGTCAGTGTGAGGGTGGGTGACCACTTGGATCAGTCTGCGTAGGAACCGAGGGTGTGCGGTATTGGTCCTCGTTAAACTGTGCTACCGTAAAGTGCTCGACTTCGCGCGCAGGTCGTCGGGCTACCGAAGTGGGGGTGCCATCCCCTCCGCAGAGGATCAAAATTGTGATGGCATGTCTTCGGATCATCTTCCGGGATGATTCCCAGACTGTCGCCAATAGCCCATTGAGCAGCTCTAGTGCGACGTAAATTAACAACAACAACAACCTTTTTTTACGGTTGTGCAATTTTTTGAAGTTATTTATAGATCAAACAGCTAATGTTATTAATGTTAACTGTCTAAAATCCGCATTCTTGAAATTCAATTTTTTGCATACTAAAATGAATTTCCTT